GGCTGACCTGGGTTCTTGCCTCTCCCAGGATGAACTGTAGCTCTATCCTTTCCTTTCAGGTCATCCTAAAAAGGAAGGCGGGGGGATGTCCAGGAATGATCAGTAGAATTGCTGCCGCATTTTTGTTACAGGGATCATTATACATTTCAGTGCAGATGTATGTAGCACTGTGAGAGTCCCATTGTGGCTGCAGGAGCTATATAAATATGTAAAATGTGGTGTATTTTAAAAACTCAACCAATAGTTGCCCAGTCACTACACTTGGACCACAGCTCAAAGAGCCAGGAATCAGTGTGTCCTATGATTTAAGGTTGCACATAAGCTGTGTGATGACACTACCATGTAGGTGCTGCAGAGGATATGAACATCTGTTCACGTTCTTTGTCCTGCCACAAAAACTGGGCCTTGAAGGTCCACAGGCTTCTGCTCATAGGTTTAGACTGCCCTCCTTCAGGCCCCAACCTCCTCTCTTTCGGTTAGTTTCTATCTCAATAGCTGATTGGCAGAAGTTTGTTTTCCTGTTGAGTCTTTTATTCTTGCCATGCTATCTTCCTTGGCATCCTGACATTTTCCCCCCCACAGCTGTACAGGCCAAAGTCTGATATAATTGTTACGTATAACTTGTATCTCCAGAACCCTGAGTGTGCTTTTTGCCCTCTGCAGCATCTTTTCTGTTTCTGCAATGGCTTACCCATCCTGTGATTGGACTTGTATACAGTATTCCAAATGTGGTTTCATCGGTGCCTCAGATGGTGATCAGAATAGTTCTACTAATTTATATTTGCCGTGTGTATATATACACACCCGTAGAACTTGTTTGCCTTAAACTGCTACTCAGACTTGTGCAGATGGTTTTAACATACTATCCACAGTTCGCCCCAACTCTTTTTTGACCTCTTTGCAGTAGTCTAAAGTACCAACAAGAATGCTTGACTTCGTCCGGTCACTTGATTGTCTTGAAAACTTAGTCATGTCTCTTTAAAATAAGAAATGCCACATTTAGCTCTGGTATTTCAAACACAAAGTGATAGGAGGCATTCAATTAAACCTCTTGTATTAAAACCTGTTGTAATAACCTTGAAGGTGTTTTATTGTACTAGCTGCATCTAATCTGAGTCCTACTTTAGGTCTGTCTTTAAAAAAAAAAAACTCATCTGCCGTCATTTATTCCCATGACTATTGATAATGCATGTTTCATCTCATTAAAGATGTTCAGGAAGTTGCAAGCATAGTTTTTGCTCATTGACTGCAAAGAGATAATAGTGTGTGACCCATCCACAGTGTCTCAGTACACATGGTGAGATCCAAGTGCAGTTTTGCATAATGCTTGTAAAAGATGTTCTCTTGGTGAAATATATTTAGTATGACTTTAACTCACACGTATGCGCCATCTTCAACTGTATTAGTCAACAAAAAGCAGGTGTACTCACTGCTCAACCCAAAGCAGTGTCAGGTGTATTTGTTTGGTTAGAAATAAAGTACGAGGTATTTGGGGACACTTGGCAGCAGGAGGAGCAGGCTGTTCTTGTTTTTGTATAGCGCTGTAAGAGCACTCAGCACTTGGCGCTAAGAAGAAAACACAAAGGAGAGAACTGCAGTCCTGTCCCGAAGAGCTTGCAGCCCCAATAAACAAACGATTCCATTCTCTTGGCTGATTCACTGGGTATTCTGAGGTGTCATTGTTGTGTAACGTGGGAGGAAACAATACTGAAGGAAAACTATAAAGGATGATGTTGATTTGCTATCAAACCCATGGTTAGTCTGTTACTTATCCTGCAGAAACTCTTATTGGTATTGCATAATGTGTTGAGAACAAAGAAATTTTGACTCCATTGATAGGGACACACCAGTGCAAAACAGGGCTTGCACAAATCACAAGGGTGGAGTGTCTTTATATTAGGGGTTTACATCAGTGTAGTTAACACGGCTGCGGGTTTCCCTAATCTTACAATAATCATTTAGACATGCCCTTAATTCCCTCTCCAGTCCCTTCCTTTCCCAACCTCAAAATGAAAATGCTTCTGCGGAGTCTTTTCTGCCATGGATACTTGAAGTGCTCTGGTCTGTACCCATCTTGCCATTTCAGCCCAGTGTGGAATTTACACAAGTAACTTGCATCGGTATTCGTCAAAGTTAAGGTGTGCATGTAACTCCACTCGTGCACTGAGAGAGTAGACCCCCCCATCGTCTGTTAGAAAGTGGCTGCAGCAGTGGTCAGATTATGATGGTTCAGAGCTGTAAAGCAGTGCTGTGCTCACATAGTCACATAAGTGTGACTATTTATTACCAGACAGTAGTGTACAAGAGGCAGAATACTTGGTAGAGCATACATGATACCTTTTATTGGACCAACAGATAAATTACAACACACTGTCTTTCGAGCAAAGAAAACTCCTCATTCAGCTCATGTAACACAAGAAAGGATGCAGCATTCTCTACCTTTCCATCTTATCTTGATGACCTAAAGTACAGCACACGTTTTCTGCTATACAATATGCAAGGCTGTCAAATCTCATTAGCAGTTAACGTGGAAAATACATTATAGAGATCTCTTTCAAAGGAACATGTATTGAATGTGGTATGTCAAGGAGTGGGACAGGAATAAAATACTGTACAATTGTCAAAAGCAACAGAGGGTCCTGTGGCACCTTGTAGACTAACAGACATATTGGAGCATAAGCTTTTGTGGGTGAATACCCACTTCGTCAGACGCATGTGGTGTACAATTGTATTTTGTATATCATCTTCCGTACAAACTACATTGTCAAACCCACACTGGAGTAAGGGAAGCCTACATAACCAGTGGCAATCTGGGAGTCCCACGTTGCAGCAGTTCCCCCGCTTAACTGTGGAAAAACTCAAGGGAAACTCACTTCCTAGGGGGAAGAAGCATTTGCTCTCCTCTTTGGAGGCAGAGAGACTGGGCAGGTGTAATCAGTTCATGTCAGTAGGAGGATATTTCATTTAAAAAAGAATTGCTCCTGTGTTCAGCTAGTTTGGACAGGAACTACCCATGAGCTGATGGTAAAACTAACTTTGCCTTTTAAAATCTCTTTGTAGGAATTATTCTTTCTATGTGCTGGACAACCAGAATCTGCAACAGCTGTGGGACTGGAACCACCACAACCTGACGATCAAAGAGGGGAAAATGTACTTTGCGTTTAATCCCAAACTGTGTGTGTCTGAGATTTACCGCATGGAGGACGTGTCGGGAACCAAGGGACGGCAGAGTAAAGGAGATATAAATCCAAGAAACAATGGGGAGAGAGCCTCTTGTAAGTCAAAGATCAGAAGGGGAATTAAATAGGAGTGAGGCCTTATACAAGCTTTAAAAATAAGGACAACCATCCCACAATCCTATTGAAGAATACAGAATGTAGAAGTTAGTGATTAAAAGACATATTGTCCATTGTAATTCAGCGGTTCCCAAACTGCAGTCCATGGTCTACTGGTGGTCTGCAGAGTTGGCTGGTCACATATGGATGACTATTTCCAGCTGCTAAATTACATTGATGAAGAAAATGCATTGTTTTCCTAATACAATTTTGACAGCGATTGCTATAGCTACGGGAACACACTTTAAAATGTCCACATTACAAAAGAGTTTGAGAATTCCATCGCTTTGCCACACCACAATATTTCACAAAGTAATCTTTTTTCCTTATTTGTGATGTGATATAATCTGGTTTTTAAAATCTTCAATGATGGAGTTTCCACCACTTCCTTTGCAAGACAGATCCATGACATCATAAGTATTATGGGGGTAGGGGATTATCTGTTTAGTTTCCTGATATTGAGGAGACTGCAGAACTTTGTTTGTGCCTATTTATTTTAGTGCAAAACAGGTTGCTTTATTTTCATACTTCTGGCTGGCCTCTGCTGGTGCGGATTGCTGCTCGTCAGTTGTTAGAAATATTCTTTAGAATAAATCTGCTGTGATTTGTTTCCGTGTCAAACAGAGAATAACTTGAGAGAAATATTTCCAGTTAGTTCTACAATATTTCAGAGTTACAATGCCTTTGTGTTTTGGGGCTGTGCCAGCAGCATATTCACAAAGGGCGTGATCCAAAACCCGTATAAGTCAACGGAAGACTCCCATTTGCTTTGGATGGTCTTTGGATCAGGCCTTTTGATTTACAAACAAATTTAAAATCCCATCTGTCCTTTAAGGCTTGCAAAGAAAAGAGGGCTTACAGGCCTGGCTTTGCCCCATGACCCATACAGCTGATGACATGTTTTGTCTGTTAGGTTGTTTGTGGTGTTCTTGGAAATGAGTAAATTAAAGCATATCATGTTTATAAGTAAACCCCTCTTGTGCTGGACAGTGTTTACAAAACTAGGACACATACACTGCTGACTGTCTCTTTAGGCATGATGCATAAATGCAGATGGTGCAGATCCTTGTTGTGCAAGGAAGGAGTGTGCTTACATTCAATAGACTGAGTGCTCACAGTTCTGGAGGAGTTACAGATGCACAGCCAGTCCCTACTACCGTGAAGCCAGTGCCAGCCACTGCCTGTTCCTTAAAACTATTACAAAAAGCTTTCTGACTCTCAAAAGAGAAAAAAGGAGAGAATTAACAAAAGCTAAATTGCCTTTGAAAAGATAGCAGCACCATTAGTGCCAGCGTACATGAGGGTGAAAACCTCTTTATTTTTCAGAGAGTTCTACTAAGATGTTAAAACTCACTCACAGTTGACACTGAACACACAAGTTCTTGGTCCAAGAATTACGTTTTTAAACCAGTTTTGTTTCAGGACTGGATGGCTATTCATCTCTAAGTTGCTGGCTCAAATCCGGCCCAGCCCAGTGTAGTATAGCGACTGGAAGCTGCTGCCATCAAACGGCTGTGCTGTATATGAAATGAGTTTAATTGTTCTCAGTTCAGCGCCTAATGAATAGAAATGCAAAAAACATTATTGCAGTTGTCAGGGGCTGCATGGGTCATAGAAGCTGATCTTTCCTTTTACCCCAGAGTGCGCTCACTTAAACTGAGTGCTTACACTTATAAGCAGAATAGAAGACGGAAGCATGTAGTGCTAACTGTACTGGTCCTGTAGATAAACAGACTTCCGTTCCCAGAGAGAATCCTGAGCACCTTTTCCCAGCATTCTAACCACACACTTGAAAATGTTTAATTTTTAAGAAACAAATTTACGTGTCTCCATGTATCCGAACATTACTGAACCCTCACTAAATGCTTTGGAATAAATAGAACATATGTAGCAACTAGTAGGTTCCTGCAGTACGGTGGTGATGAGCGCTATCGAGACCCCTAAACTAGATAATACTGAGGCACACAATTTTAAGAAACACAGCAAAACCCAAGAATAAAGTTGTGAATCGAACTCATTTTGCCATGGTTACTGACTTGTCATTTGTTTATGCTGTAGGCGAAAGCCACATTCTGAATTTTGTCTCCAACACCACCCTGAAGAACCGGATTAAGCTCACCTGGGAGCGGTATCGTCCTCCAGATTACAGAGATCTTATTAGCTTCACTGTTTACTACAAAGAGGCGTGAGTATACGTGTTCTGAGACTAATGATGTCATTCAGGAAATAACAGGCACAGTGGGTAGGGTTTCTCTCTTGACCGTTGTGTTTATTGGCTGAATAAAGGATAAAGTGAGTTAGCAAAGTCCCTTGGGCAATTCTTATTCTGTGCAGTGTACTCACTTCGTTCTCGAGTGCTCCTTTCTTACAAGGTTCTGTTTTGATACTATGTACTATACCAAAGTGCCTGCTAACATAGAGGTGTTTAGGACCTGTTTTCAGGACACTTTCACATTTAAAAAATCCCAAGTGATATAAAATGCTCGCCTATTTTCTGGGTGTTTTTCTGTGTTTATTGGAATCTCCAAATAATATATGTGCTTTTATGCCAATTAGTTCTTTCTTCTCCCAGCCATGACATTGGCTAGGCAGCAGCATGGATTGGAGAGACAGTTTGAAGTTCTGGTTTGGAGCCTCAGTATTGTAATTAATTGGGCTCTGGGTTATTTAGATTCTCTAGGTTGGACAGGTTGCTGCAGCATTTGCTGATGGTGAAGTGCGGTAAGATGCAGGGGAAAACTGACTTTGTTGGGATCTGGTAGACCCTTTCTCACTTTCCCGCTCCTCCCCTCTCCTCCCCACCACACACACATGCACACATACCAAACCCCTTTGTATTGGAGATGGGCCTGAACTAGAGCTGAAATCCGAATGTCTCCGTCCCTCTGTGCCTCCAGTGTTTTGCAAAATGTTTCGATCCAAATGGTGACTTGGGCTCATTTCTTTTTCCTTCATATTCAAGTATTTTTCTGACCCGTGTTCCCATTTCATCTGTCACTAAGCAGCTTTCCTAAAGAGGACCTATTGCCAGGGTCCATACTGACCAGCAATTCTTGGTACACCAACCACTCATGAAGGGCCTAACCCTACCTTTTTGTAGTCCTTTCCCTACTCCATTCTATCTCTAATCTCAGGCCAGGTTTTCTCTCTGCTGTCCAGAGATGTTCTACAGTCTCTGTGGAAGTAATAGTTAGAGTGAGCAAGAAACACTTCCAACCAGAAACCTCTTAAATCAGTCAGCTGCATTGAGATTCTGCTCTGAAAAGAGAGAGATGTCACAGAGACAGAGCCCGGTGAGCAGGCTGATTGCTTCAACATTCTGGAGCTAAGTTGTGAGCAAATGAAGCAGGAATTCTATTAATACCACAATATGAGTCTATAACATGGTTTGCCTTCAGTATTGACATGTCCATGCTAAATAGTCGTTAAATAAAAGTAAGACCTTTGTATATAGTTGTACCAATAATACAATTTAAAATTAATCAAATGTACAAATTACAGGTCCAATCTTGGTTGTTTGCCTATGTCAAGAACTAAAGCAGCCAGTAGGCTATTGAGCTACTAGTCAAAGTGTAGCGAAATCTGGGTTCTTGTGGCTAACGTTCAATCACTGTCCGTAATTATTCTGAGTCGCATCTGTTTAATTTGAGCCCAGATAACCTGTGAATATAGTGTCAGAAACAGTTCACTGTCTGCTTTTGAAAGTAAGATAGGGCAACTGAGTCGGTGTCCTTAGAACAAGTCTTGTTTATGTTTTAAATGACACAGTAATCTACAGCTATGTAACCAAACACATTTATATTGAGTACAAGGAGTTTCCTTTTGTACCTACATGTGACTGTGATTGGTTCTTATGGTTTATCACCACTACCACAAGACAGTAACAGACTGTCCATTTTTTATTGTTTTATGGTTCGTTGTAGTTATAGAACGAGAAATAAGGACTTTTTATTATTCCATTATATGGGGAAGGGCTTATTTGTTTGGCATAGTCTACCCGTTGTATAATGCTAGGTACCCTTATGGAGCTCTATAAATAATAAATTAATACCCCAGCAGGTTTCTTCTCTCCAACGCTTATTGGCCTATCGCTGAAGGTCTGTTTCTGTTTCTCTCTGCTGACAACAGTTACACGTTATCTCTCCTTTGGCAGGGAGTAGTTGAATTGAAGATGTTTGTTCAGACTGATAAATTATCCAATAGTTTTCCTTTTGTGGGAAGGGAAAGTAAGCCATGACTACCTATTTCCCTCAGATTCCTGACATCTCAGTAACTACAGAGGCTAAATCCTGTAGCTAAATCTGAACTCCCTAGTTTTATAGCAGTTGGAAATAAAAGACAAATCTAGGCTTTGGGATTCTCTTTTATTCTTCTTTAAAAAGCAAATACATTTTTTTTATTAGTTTCATTGGACAAAAGCTGATGTGAGATTCACCCATAAAAGTTTGAGTGTTTTTAAGAGGAAGTAAAAGTACAATTGGTGCCATTTTCTTTTAATATTTCAGACCATTCAAGAATGTGACAGAGTATGATGGGCAAGATGCTTGTGGTTCTAATAGCTGGAACATGGTGGATGTTGATCTGCCCCCAAACAAAGAGAACAACCCTGGGATTTTACTGCAGGGACTGAAACCTTGGACTCAATATGCCATTTATGTCAAGGCTGTTACTCTCACAATGATGGAGAATCATCACATCCATGGAGCAAAGAGTGAAATAGTCTATATACGCACCAATGCTGCAGGTAAGGCCTGTGATGCATGGCACTGCAAAGGTATCACAGGCTGGACTTTCATACACTCAGATGGGTCTTTAAAGCTGCACGTGTAATTTATTAGCCCTGGACTGTTGAAAAAACTAAGTGCATTGGAAAACATGAACAACTTTTAAATGCTTGATACTCAGGAAATCCATTAGAGGGGCTCAGTGCAGTTTAAATATATTGCAGTCTCAGTTAAGGGCATTTGTAATATTCCTCCCAGAAAACATTCCAATGAGGGCAGACAAGGGTCTGTTTGTCAGCTATACGGAGAGGAACACAGGGTGTCTGTTTTTCACAGTTATGTACTTGCCTTTAAGTCATAATGCTGACCACTACAACACAACATCAGGTGAACATGTTTGATTCAGCTCCACCTTTTGACCACAAATAGCTTCCAA